CAGTGGCACCATATAGCATTTGTCCCTTTGTGACTGAGATACCTCACTCAGCATAATGTCCTCCAGGGTCACCCATTTTGAATAATATTGCACAACATGTTCTTTTGGTGGGTGCATGTGAAATCTGGCCTTAGAAACACACAAAAATGAAACAGGAAGAAGTATTCTAATAACTTTTCAGATGAACTTGATAGTGTTCCTTGGACTACATTAAACTCTTCCAGAGAGATAATTTTTTAAAGTTCTTTAAAGTTTGGATACAGTGTTAGAATCTAAGTGCAGTAGTACAATTTTTGTCCTGTTACTGTGAAACCTATTGGTTCTGCATTTTGAATGAGTCACTGAATTTACAATGATTTTGTAACTAATATTGTCAGATGGAAAACAAGGCTCAATGAGTTACATAAGTCTTCCAAAAGCTGGCAAATTCATCACTCCCAACAACTGATATTTGTCAGTATCATCTCCAATCTCACCTGTTGTTGTTACGTTCTGCCGAGTTGTCTACAACCTATAGCAATCCTATGCACAGCAACTCTGAACCCTGCCCTGTTCTGAGCCAGTCTCTCTAATTCTGACACATCAATCCCCTTTGCCCCAAACATTGTATCTATCCATTTCATCCAGGGTCTTCCTCACCTATGCTGTCCCTCCACCCCTACCAAGAACAATGTCCTTCTTCAAGGATCAGTCTCTCCTGGCCATGTGCCCAACGTATGTTAGACGGAGCTTCAAAATCCTAGCCTCCAAGGAAACTTGGTTTCACCCTCTCCAAGACAGACCTATTTGTTTTCTTAGCAGTCCATGGTATGTTCAAGACTCTTCTCCAACACCACAACTTGAAGGCATCTATTCTTCCTCTGTCATTTTCAGTCACTATCCAGCTCTCTGATGCACAGCAAGTACTGAGAAGACCATGGCCTGGATTAGGCACACCTTAGTCTCTAGATTGACATCACTGTTTTTAAACACTTTGTTGAGATCCCTGACAGCAGATTTTCCCAGTGCAATTCATCTTTTGATTTCCTGACTGCTGGTGTTAAGAGTGGAGCTGAGCAAGCTGAAATTGTTAACAACCTCAATCTCTTCTCCATCTATCATGATGCTGCCAATTGGCCCAGTGTCGAGAATCTTGTCTTCTTGATGTTAAGCTTCAATCCTATTAAAAACTACAGTCCTTAACTTTCTGCAGCAAGTGCTTCAGGTCATCTTCAGTTTTAGCAAGCAAGGTTGTGTCATCTGTATAATGTAGGTTGTTTATGAGTCTACCTCCAATCCTGATGCCACATTCCCACATTCCTTCTCATAAAGCCCTGCTTCCTAGAAAAGCTTATAAATAGTACAAAGCTGTCAAGTTCACAATGGCGGACACTTTTCCAAATTTCCAATGTTTACTTGAAAACTCAAATTTTATCAGTGACAAGTGCAATTCATTGTTTTCCTCCACAGACTTCTGAGGCAATGTCTGCCAAATCCCTGCATTTCAATAACCATCTTGTCAACCTGTTGGTTTTTCGAGTACAACTGTTGCCAGTATGAATCAAGAGGCTAATTCTGGTCATAACTCAAACAGTTGGACAATTCACTTTATAGTTATTTCTCACTTTATCATAAAATATTGACCCAAGGGTTATATTTTTATGAAATTAGGGGTTTTCACTGCTTTACATCAAGGCTATTTCTTGTGTGAAACTGGTACATACGTATCTTTTCTCACTGTGTGTGAATGATCACAGACATAGTTTTGCTGCTGCTGCTGGGATTCCCACAAGGGGCCGACACAGGTTCTACACTCTTACACTGCTGACTGCTGCCTCCTCTATATTCTCCCCTCCACTTGACTCCCAGGCACCCACAACGGCTATGGTTTTCCAGACGCACCAAGCTGTTTCCTGCTTATTCTGTGAGAATGTTCTCCCCACCCTGGGTCCCTGACAAATGTCCATGTAATTTCTAAGAGTTGTCAGGCCTCTCCATCCCCCTAAGCCTCCCCTGACTCTTCCTCACACATTCAACAAATGCCCTGACAGCTGACCATCTGCTTAACAAGCCTGCTGAGCTTTTTACATGTTTCTACTGCGAAACTTAGTATTCTGGTATAACTTACTTTCATATACTCTTCCTATTAAGCTATGAATTCCATGAACAAAGGGAATGTGTTTTCATTCATCTCTGTATGTCCAGAAACTACTATAGTTCCAGTGGAAGAGTTGTAAAAAGACTCCACAAGTCATTTATTCATTTACTCATGAGCTCTGAATAAGATCTGAGTACCCCACCTTTGCATGGCACTAATTTCCACCTCGGGAGCTCTGGTGGCTTAGTGGTAAGGATCTGTGCTGCCAACCCAAATGCATGAAGTTCAGATCCACCAGCTGCTCCATGGGAGACAGATGGGCAATCTCCTTCCATGTCTCTGAAAACCCAGTGAAGGGTCAGCTTTGGGTGGGCTCTGACTTAACAGTATATAACAACATTAATTTCCATTTGAGTCATCCTGTTACATTACAAAGGAGCAAGATTATGATGAACTCATACTGTTTAACAATCTTACACTCTGCCCCACTGACCCAAAAAGAAAAGTCTTTTGAGATTTTAGGAAGAGGAAAATACAAACAAGAGTATGATGAAGCTGAAACAGGATATCAAAACAGTCCAAACCTCTACCTCTTATCCAAAAGACCTGTAGCCTCTTATTCTAAAGCCTTACCATCTGTCTCCTAAACTCACCATAGTATGGTAGAGAAACCAGGACCTGAGTACAAGTCCCACGTGTGGTTCTTTCACTGTGCACCCATAACTGGCAAGTTACGTCTATGTTTTCATTCATAAAAGGAGAACAAAAATCCATCTTATTCAAAGAAGCAAGTTAAAAGATTAAACAGCACAACTTTACAACTAATTATTGTCCTAGGAACAAAGATAAAAACAGTCGTAGTGGCAGCAGCTAACATGTATTGAGTATTTACTGCCTGCTAAGTACTGTTATGCACCCAAGAAGAAACACTGCCTTTGAACTGTGGAGCTGGTGAAGAGTATCAAGTATACCATGGACTGCCAAGAGAAAAAGCCTATCTTAGAGGAAGTGCAGCAAGGTGCTCCCTGGAGGTAAGTAAGGACTGTGAAACTTTGTCTCACATACTTTTGGCCTGTTGTCAAGTGAGGCCAATCCTTGGGAAAAAGGACATTATGCTGGGAAAGATACAGGGTCGGCAAAAGAGAGGAAGATCCTCAACAAGATGGACTGCAGCAGTGACTAACAACAGGCTCAAACACAGCAGATGAGTGAGGATGGTGCAGTTCATGAGGTTCCTATGCGATGGAGTTGATTCAGTGGTCCCTAACAACAAGTATTGTTTAAAATGTTTTGTTTAATTCATCTGTATTTATTAATTTCATTTAAATGTATACCCATGAATCTTACATATAATATCTCTTCTTTTTTGGGGGGGATTAACTTTTATTAGTTAATTCCGTAGTAATTAATCAGGAATAGGAGAACGTGTGATATGAAAGAAAATACAGATGTTTAGCTTTCCCCCACCACATTATTAGCTATTCAAGTGTTTTAGAATTGAGAGCCTTAATGAAAGATTTATGTGTTTTAACATAATGTAACATCATATAAAATTTTTCCAAAAGGTCAATTTTTATTTAAATTTCAAGCAACTTTTCTGTCTTCAAAAGACTCGAATAAAGAAGACGTCACTCTCTTAATAATCTACTGTTTCATTTATTAGACTGATGGTCTAATGGTAAGGAGCTGCGCTGCCAGCCCAAAGGAGGTGATTCAAGGCCACCAGCTGCTCCTTGGGAGAAAGATGGGTAATTTCATCTCGTACAATTTACAGCCTTGAAAACCTACTGGAGGGTTTGCTATGACTCAGCTGCAACTCGACAGCACACAACACAACATGTTAAGGGACTATGTTGGACACCAAGAATAATAGTTCTCTGATTTTCATTCTAGCTGAGAGTCAGATAGTAAATATTCTTTGCAAAAGGATAAGGGTAAAAAAAGTCATTGATTGCTGTTGATTTGCAGCTGACTCACAGCTTGACTCTTCAGCTAGTTATTGCCCATCTTTTTCCTGCAGAGCAGCTGGTGCATTTCAACCATCAAGGAAGCATAGTCTTTGGCTGGCAGTGCAATTCCTTACAGACTATGCCACCAAAGCTCCCACCAGAGCAAAGGTTAGTGACAAGGAAAACAAAATGTGATGTGAGGGACTGGCATTGCATGGTAAGGCTATCAAAGGCATCTGTCCTACATGGATGGCCAACACTGCATGGTTTTAAACAGGGGCATGAAGCACCTAATATCTGTGCTTAAAAAGAGCAGACAACTCAGGTGGTCTTAGCAACAGGGTCTGGTAAAGGACGGGAAAGTGTGGAGACAACAGGGAGAAAATTACTGAAATGGTTCTGGTGACATGAGATATGGAATGAAGCCACGGCTGAAGGACTAGTTACAGAGGTGGCTCTAGATCTGAGACACAGCACAGAGGTAACTGGGGAGAAATAGGCCAGGAGAGAAATCACCTACTTCTGAGGCTTTTCTCTTAGAAAGTGCACGATGCTGTTTATATAAGAGGAGCATCTTCACTTAAGGATTTACACAGGAAACTGAGTGAGGAGAGTGTTAACTAAGGGGCCGGTGCTCTCTGCCATAAATGTATTACATTACCTAAATCTCATCAGTGTGGGGTGGGACTCGGAGGGGAGGGTTCAGAGGGTACAGATATTGTGGGAGAGACAATAAACCAATCCAGAAAGAGCCCAAACTTTCCTGAGGGGCCAGAACTGAAGGCCTAGTGGGGAAATTTTATTTTTATCTTCATATTTCCATGAAAAATTAGTATTAAAAAAAAATTTAATCCCTCTAAAATAAGTATATATCATTCAAGAATATGAGAGTTACTTTTATGTAAAAACTCAGCTATGGTTCTGATTGGTTTGGCCAGATCCTGAAGTGGCTGCACCTGTATAGGGTTAGGGGGTGAATGGCAGGGTAAAGAGCAGTAGTGCAGTCCCCCTCCACAGGGTAACCTGGTGTGACTGGGGTTAGGAGGTGAATGGCAGGGTAAAGAAGTGTAACACCGTCCCGTCCCCTTCAGTAACACAACCTGGTGTGATTTACAGTCAGCCAAGGGGCATGTCTGTGCCTCAAGTGTCTTAGACGGTGTTTGTTCTGACACAGCTTTGGACTCAGCACTCTTCTCATTGCCAAGACATCTTGAGATGCAAGGCTGTAAGCTGATGCCAACTAGTAGCTTTCAACTCACAGTCACCCATACAACAAAACACAACACTGCCTGCCAGGTCCTGCACTGTCTTCGCAGCCACTGTTTGAGCCCAATGTTGCAATGACTGTTATCAATCATCTCACTGGGGGGGGGGGGTGTCTTTCTTTTTCACCAATGTATCAGTATTTACATCTCATTTCAACTCAAACTAAGACAAAATCCAAAAAGCTACATTTTTCTTAGCCTAAACTTACTGAATTATGTTGTTTCAAATATTCTGCAGCATCTTCTTCTGCATTACCACCAATCTCACCAATCAATATGATACCTTCTGTGGCTGGATCATTCAGAAATACTTCAAGGCAGTCAATAAAATTTGTTCCATTAAAAGGATCACCTCCAATGCCTGCAAAAAGTCAAAGAATATAAACACCAACTGAAAATATCAGGCTCAAACCATAGAATTTAGATCAAGACAAGCAATCTCTATAGGTTTTTTAAATTTGCTTACCTCCCTCCTCCCTAATGCTAAGAAATGTGTCTTCACTCTTGGATTAAATGAAATTTTATATGTATTACTGCTTATAATAAGACAATGCTAAGTGGTGCTTGGTTACTGAAAGTCACAAGAGACAACTCTTAGTTTTAGCTCATTTAACAAGTCTCTGCCCTCAAACTACTCCCACATTTTTTCATTTAAATGAACATTTTAAGAAATGTGTTTTATGTTGCAAGCTGATGTTCCATGAGAGGAAAGATACAATGTTTTCTCTGATCCCACATTTGTTGTTGTATTGCTATTATTTGCCAGTGTCCACTGTAACTCCTTGTGACTGCTATTGAGTACAACGGCTCTGAAGCCTGCTCTATCCTGAGCTAGTCTCACTGACTCTGACATGCACTTATCTCCATTACCTCAGCTACTGTGTCAGGCCATCTTATCCAGGGTCTTCCTCTGCTGTATTCTTCCTCTACCCTTCCAAGGATGATGTCCTTCTCCAAGGACTGGTTGGTCCCTCCTGCCCAGGTGCCCAAAATATGTGAGATGGAGCTTCAAAATCCTTGCCCCAAGGAGAAACTTGGTTTCACCCTATCCATAGTAGACCTGTTTGTTCTCGTGGAGGTCCGTGGTATATAGTACTCTTCTCCAGCACCACAACTCAAAGGCATCAATTCTTCTTTCTTCATTGTCCCTGTCTCTGATGGATAGCAAGTAATTGCAAATGCCTGGACTGGGTGTACCTTAGTCCCTAAACTGACATCATTACTCTTTACCACTCTGGAAAGGTCCTTGACTGCAGACTTCACCAATGCAATTTATCTTTTTGATATCCTGACTGCTGAAGCCAAGAGTGTTGACTGTGGAGCTAAGAAAGCTGGAATTGTTAACCACCTCAATCTCTTCTCCATCCAGTCTGAAGCTGCCAATTGGTTCACTGGTGAGAATCTTTGTCTCATACTTTGATTCCACACTTAAAATTTTATTTGCACTGTGGAACTATTTAATAAGCTGATTGCAGATGAAACATTTACAAGTTTCAAGAAACAAGTCACATGATAGGGATGGGGCAAGGTGTCACCCTGAGACCCAAAGCAGATGACAACGGAGCCGGCATGCAGGAGCTCTTCTCCAAGCACATGACAATCTCAAATGCAGATCTACACAAGATTGAAGTAAATGTTCCCTATAGCCTTGGCTGTCACATTAACCTTTTTAAACAAAGAATCAATTTCTTACTTTTTATAAATATCTAAATGCCAATTAGTGCCCAAGTGCACATTGGACCTGTCATTTCTTAATTCTTCTCTCTGTAAGATGGGTATTGTAATGTTTCAGTTTACAAGTTAAAATACTGAAGCTGGAGAAGATGGATGTGGCAAAGGCATCTTAAAAGTCTTTTTCCAATCTCCAACACCCTAAGTAACTTTCTAACAGAGTTATGTACATTCAAAGGCTCTGCTGATGTGTGCAAAACTCAATTTATACATCTGAATCTTCATAAAAATACTCTATTATTATATTCTTTTATTTTTTTTTTTTTTTTACTTAAGGGCAAAAAACCAACCTCACAACTATTTTTGATAGTTTTTTAAAGGAGCCTAAGACCTTAAAAGAATATTAGTAAAAACGAGAATTTGACGGTTGGTGGGGTTTTTTTTTTTGGGGGGGGCGGGGTCTAAGTGCTGAAATAGTTTAAAACTACTATACAGATAACTGGGAAGTAACGTCAAGATCTCCCTCGAGTCAAGCCTACCAGCTCATTTCCTTTATAAAATGAGCTTGTGGGAAAGCACATTGTTTCATATTTTAAAAAGGTATTTTACCTACATTATGTAGGTAAAACAACAGCCAGAGTTCTACTCTTTAGTCCACTATCAATGTCTTGTCTTGTAATAATTCATTGTTGTTATTGTTACATGTTATTGTTATATATGTTGTTGTTATATGCCGTCGAGTCTCTTGCGACTCATAGTGACCCTATATACAACATACCTAAACTCTGCTCTGTCCTGTGCCAATCGCACTGTCTCTGACACACCCATCCCAATTATCCCAGTCACTGAATCAATCCACCTCATAGGGGGCCTTCCCCTCCTGCGCTGTCCCTCCACCCTACCAAGCATGAGGTCCCTCTCCAAGGAGGTCTCTCCTCACAACATGTCCAAAGTATGTTAGACGGAGCTTCAGAATCCTTGCCTCCAAGGAGCAGCACGATTTAACCCTTTCCAGGATGAACCTGTTTGTTTTCCTAGCAGTCCATGGTGCCCTCAATACTCTTCTCCAGCACCACAGCTCAAAGGCATCAATTCTCCTTCTGTCCTCCTTAGTCATTATCCAACTCTCTGATGCATAACAAGTGATAGCAAAGACCATGGCCTGTATCAGATGCACCTTAGTCTCCAAAGGGACACCATTGCTCTTCAGTACTTTGGAGAGGTCCCTAACAGCAGACTTTGCCATAGCAATACGTCTTCTAATTTCCTGGCTGCTGGTACTGAGAGTGTTGACTGTGGAGCCAAGGAAACTGAAGCTGTAAACAATCTCAATCTCTTCACCATCCATCCTGATGTTGCCAATTGGTCCAGGGGTGAGAATCTGTGTCTTCTTGACATTGAGCCTCAATCCATATTGGAGGCTGCAGTTCTTGACCCTCTGCAGCAAGCGTTTCAGGTCCTCCTCAGTTTCAGCAAGCAGGGTTGTATCATCTGCATAACGCTGATTGTTGATAGATCTTCCATTAGTAATAATTCATTACTAGTTTTTAAAATGTGATGAACTATGATGTGGTGAGGAAAAAAAAAGGTTCTGGATAATTCAGCCTTGGTTTTCTCTAAGGCTCTGAGATTAACTTCCCAGTTCAGAGAGAGCTCAAAGGATTGCCTTAAGACTGAGCTCATGAATGGCAGAGAGGTAAGGAACTATGAAAGTCCTAACATAATTCTGGTAACAAAAGTTCTAATATTAAGAATGATTTTTTTTTTTTCCTTCCAGGAAGCAAAGTAAGTGACATGTGTGTGATTTCCTCAGGTAGCCACACTCCCCAGGAGCAAGGAGACCCACATGTTTGTTTTTCGACATGAGATTGTCTTGAAACTATAACTTCAGCAAATCAAATTTAAGATCACAATATTCACTTAATAAAACCTTACCAAATACCTAGCTAATAACCAAACTAGTAAATATTGTACTCATTCAATGAAGATATTATGTGCCAATAAAATTATTTTAGCAAAAATACCTTACCAATACACAAGGACTGCCCCAATCCAACTTGTGTCGTTTGGTGAACTGCTTCGTAAGTTAGGGTACCAGATCTGGACACAATACCTTAAAGAAAAGAAACTCAGAAACATTAAATTGTGTTCATATGACAGACTATCATACTATCAACTCCATTACAAATACTCTAAATAATTTACATGGGGCCTGGTTTTAACTGTTTTAGCTCAAACATTCTTCTAGATCATAAAGCCCTAGTCTGTCCACTTTCTGTACAGAGGTTAACTCATGGTTGCTGTAAAGCTGAACACTGTGACACTCATGTGTCAAATGTGATAATGGTTACCCATGGTGGACAGTGTTTGGTGGAGCTCTCTGATTAAAACAGCCTGGAAGCAGGAATGGCATCCATTTCCGAAATAGCTTGCCTCCGGAAACCCTATGAACCTGGAGAAAGGATGAAAGTTATACAAATGTTCAGGTCTTTTGTTCATAGGGTCGCTATGAGTCGCCTACGACTCGATGGCACTTAACAACAACATATATAAAATGCAATCCAGTATCTTCAAATGAGAAAATAAGAAAAAACACTTATAGGGGAGTTCTAAAAATTATTCATTATTGTGATGTTATGACTACAACATTCAATTAAAAAAAAAACCATATAAATTATTTCTCCTGAGAATTTTTATGAAGGGGATGGTATCGGCAGGAACTTGGTTGGTATAACTTCTTAGGGGTAATAAAACAAAAAGAGTAGATTTAGAGATATTCAACTATTAGACCACCAGAACATCAGCTCATACACTGTATTATCTAACTTATCCTGAAACTATTTTCCATACTACTTTCAAACAATGTATAGATTTTAAAATATAGAAAAAATTGGGGCATCAAAACAATATCTCTCTAGAGTCAAGCCCATCACCTAGTTTCCTTTGTAAGCTTTTGTGAATCCATTTGGTTTCCTATGTGGATAGGCGTGTGCAGAGGAGTATGATGGCTTCTGGGGGTCTCCTCTTTAGCCCACCATCAGTGTCTTCTCTTAAAGTTCACTATGCATGGCTGAGCTTTAGGGAAATCATTTTTCTACGTCTCAACTGTGCAATACTTTACAACAGGAAATATATAAAAAGTGGATTCATAATGTCAACACTCAGACAAGTGTAAATGAGTAACTTTAGGTGTGAGAGCAATTTGTAAAAGAATCTAAATATTTTACACACAGTACTATGATACAGACTAAAATTAGAACATCTCCTCTGTGGTGGCAGGTAACTCCCGATGTCCAAGGTTCTCTTTCTTTAAATCTCTGCCTGAGATCATTCTTTAAAGGCAAAGGAGATTCTTTTCTAAAAAGATGATCCCCCTACAAGGGAAACTAGAATTCTTGTCAGATTGAAACAACAACAACAAAAAAAATCACAGCTGCACTAGGTTGTATTGGGCACTAGATGTTTAGTCTGTGCATAAACACACCTCTTCTACTATCAGTTTGAGAATATTTTAAGTTTAGATGTTCTGCACAAATCTGTCTAAGTGACAGACAGATGTGTGTGTATACCAGTCACTGCTGGACAGTGCCCCAGCCAGCATACTCCCTTAGATGAGTTCATCAGACAGTGACAGCTCTGAGCATGCCTCACTTCAAATGGAGTCTGGCATCAAATCCCAGCCGAGCACAGTCTCAGCCCACCTCTTCGGACATCCTACTCTGGTGACACAGTTTCATCCTTCAATTAAACATCATACTTGCCTCTATATTCCTATTTGTTCTGTTCAATAGAGCCTTCACTTTCACCATCTGACAAAAATTTTAACCACATTTCAAGATTCACAATAAAAACTTAAATGTGGCTTTCTCCTTGAAGTCTTCCCTGGTCTCACTCCATCTAAATGTGAGCTATGAAGCTTCTCTAAACCATCTCAGTTGTGAAAGGACTACATAGGAGAAACTGTGCTTCCAGTCTCAAGAATAAGGGGAAACAGATGAATGAGACGGCTGGAATAATGGGCCTGTCACAAATTAGTCGATGAAGAGACTTAAAATGACTGGAACTGGACTTTGCTGAAGAAGATGTAGAATGCTCCATTAAGAATTATTCAGTTTCGGTTTATCCAGGAAAATGTTTGCCGAGTACTTTCTTGACCAAGAACTGTGTTCAACACTAAGATCACAGGCGTGAAGAAAATAGTCTTTACTGACCCGAAGGTTCCAGTACTGTAAGGAAGACAGCCACTGAAAGAGCTAGCACACCACTGGTGGTCTCTTACGACCCAGGGGATAAGAGTAAGGTTTTGGAGAATCACTGTGTAGTCGGGATCAACTAGACATTCCAGGTTCACAGGGCAAGCAGAAGGGAACAGGAAACAACTATAAAAAAGCAAGATGAATAATTGTGTGCTGATGGAATATTCAATCTTGAGAACACAAGTATCTTGATTGTGACAATTTACCACAGTTCTACAAAATGTCATCATTAGAAGAAATCTGGTAGCAACACAAGCTTTGTATTATTTCTTACAATTACATGTGAATATGCAACTATTTCAACATAAAAGATTTAATCATTAAAAGAAAGAACAGGGGAGTCAAGTGAGTCACTTGCGATTACAAGTACAAAAACACAGTAAAGTTAAATAGCAACAACTTGGAATCCAGCCCCTTCCTTCAATGCATTTCACTTCCTGATACAAATGTTATTAGCACAGACAGGCACCTTCCAACCCACTGCTGCTGGGGTAGTCCCAAGCGACGGCAAGCTCTCATAAGGGTTCCGAAGGTGCAGATCTTAATGGAAACACACTGCATCTTCTGTGCAGCTGCTGGTGGATTCAAACCACCAACCTTTCAGTTAGCAGTCAACATGGCCCCATAACACAAACTACAAAGTCCCTAAATCATTATACTGCCATTATGATAACTACATCCCTTTCAGAAATCCAGAACTGAAAAAAATCCTTTTTTCCTTAAATTTTAACGTAAAGAGCAGGACTCAATACTCAGAGTATTAGCATCGATGTAAAAAAAAGGAGTAGTCAATGCACAGCCAGTACCTTTTCTCTCTTAAGCCCCTAAAAAGTCACATAATTTTGGTTTAGGGGAGTACTTAGAAAAAAATTAGATCCTGACCAATGTTAGCACCATTCTGAGAAGTAAGGCCTAAAGGATCTTCTTGAATGCCTCTTAATTTTTAGGTCTCCATAAGTTTACAGCACCGAAGGAAGCAGAGCAGTGATCAGAAAGGTAATTAAGCACAAGGAACTCTTTCTGCAACACTCAATTCAAGAGACTTGGCAATCAAAGCATTCAGTAGCAGCCATTCAAAGACCCAAAGAGTACTTATCATTATGTATTACTCCCTGAAAGCAAGGATTCTGAAGCTTCGTCGGACATACTTTGGACATGTTGCAAGGAGAGACTCGTCCTTGGAGAGGGACGCCATGCTTGGGAGGGTAAAGGGACAGTGCAGGAGAGGAAGACCCTCAATGAGATGGATTGATTCAGTGACTGGGGTAATGAGGGTAGTTGTGTTGGAGACAGTAAGACTGGCACAGGATAAAGTAGGGTTTAGGGCTGTTGTACACAGGGTCGTTATGAGTTGCAAGTGATTTGACAGCACATCACAACTGTCAACTTGAAAATGACCCATAGTTGACCATCTAGCAGGTTTTCAGAGGCAGTAAATCACATGAGATGAGACTACCTATCTTTCTCCAGCAGAGCAACTGGTGGATGTGAACTATGTGCCTTTCAGTTAGCAGTGCAACTCCTTACCACTAAGCCACCAGAGCTCCCTAAAGAGTTTAAATACTCCTAAGGATGTTTAAGAGCATCAGTAACTACCAGGATCATGTGACTAAGAAAATAATGAGTAAAAGACATAAATAGATACTTCACAAAGAGAAGACATGTGAATGGTCAACAAGCTCATGAAAAGGTGTTCAATGCCACTACAGTCTAGGAAAACAAATATTAAAATCCCAACAAGATACCATTAGAGTAAGTGGAAAGGCAACAGTAAGAAAAACCATCAATGCCAAGTGTGCCTGAGAAGAACTGGAGCTGCGGAAACTCTCGTACACAAAAAGTGGAAATGTAAACTGGGACAGCTACTGCATAGAATATTTGATAATTTTTTTTAAAAAGAGTTACATATTTTAACTCTTTGGCCTAGCAAGTCATTCCTAGGTATTAGAGTCCCTTTAAAAAATTAAAATGTGGACACAAAAAGACCTATTTACAAAATGTATTTAACTTCTTAACAGCAGCTTCACTGCTGTGGAGTGGGAATGAAATCAAGGCTGACCCTCAGAGGCTGGAAATTGCAAAAAGATACTGCCCATTCTTCTCTGGTGGAGCTGCTGGTGTATTTGCACACCCAGGAAGGTGTTGCCTTTGGGATGGTGGTACAACTCCCTACAGACTACACCACCAGAGCTGCACTGGCCTTTCAACACAGATGTTCACTCAAACTGTATTCATAATGGCCCAAATCTGAAAGTAACCCAAACGTTCATTAATGGGAGAACAGACAGGCATACTAGTCCAATTGTACAACAGAATACTAGAAATGAAGTAAGAAAATCAAATCCATTACTGTTAGGAGTTGATTCCAATTCACAGTGATCCTACATGACAGTGGCACTGTCTTCCTGGGTTCTCAAGGCTATAATCTGTATGGGAGCACACTGCCACATCCTTCTCCTACCAAGCAGCTGTTATTTAAACTGAGGATGCTCTGGTTTACAGCTAAGCACTTAAGCCACAGTGCCATCAGGGTTCTTAATAGACGACCATTCAGAAATAAAATAGACTACTACTCACAAATAAAACAGAACTCCTGAAACATGCAAATATATGGAAGAAGCTAACATGCTGAACAGTAAAAGAATCTTTAAAATCCCTAACGAATGGCTTCACTGAATGTGTAGAATTTTAATTACTTCTCAAATAAGCTCCTTCAGTTAGGATACAAAATCAATTCAATGTGCAATATCTCTGCTAAACTCAATCCCAATTAAAACTAGTATTACCTGCATACTCACACATTTTCTTCATTACTTTTAAGAGTTTAAGGCTGAGGTTGTTTTTTAAAAATCTACAAGAAAACAGGAAACATACTTACCAATTCTTCCTTTTTTGTGAATATGACCAGGCATGATACCAATTTTGCATTCTCCAGGCTGAAAATAAATCCGTTTCAGAGAAGGAGAAAAATAAAAGGTAACTCAGAGGTCATATACGCTTGGACTCATTCAAAGTCAGCTAGGCCCATGAGGGGCTAGCTCTGGGCTCGTTTCTACTTTGTCACTCACGTTGATGACTCCGGGGCAGTTGGGCCCGATGAGCCTGGTCTTTCCCTGGCGCAGCAGTGCGTGCTTGACCCGCACCATGTCCTGCTGTGGGATGCCTTCGGTGATGCACACCACCAAGGGCATTTCTGCCTCCATAGCTTCATTAATTGCAGCAGCAGCGAAAGGAGGTGGAACATAAATGACAGATGCTGTCGCTCCCGTCTGTTCTTTGGCCTGAAATTTTAACCACAAAGTAGGATATTCTTTGGCTAAGTCATAAATACTCTAAAATAAATCCAATACCATGATTTTAAAGAAAGTCTGGGGCCAGGAGATATCGTATGTCTTCATCTTTTCTATGCTCAAGGTCAAATTCATCATGATGTTTAAAAAAGAACAGTCAGGCAAAGCCTTGTCCCTGCCCCTTTGAGGCTCAACACAGACTCAGAGGTCCTGTGACCTCTCACTCTCAGGGGTCAATTATGTAAATAAAACTGAAAGCGCTACCTGATTTGGGTTTACATAAAGACTTCTTCTGTTAGACTGACTTCCACTACTATGTCCTCTCACAGCACATGTGAGACTTCCCCTACCGTGCCCCACATAGCACATGTGTGACTTCCAGTAGTCTGCACACAGCACATGTGTAACATTTACTATGCCCCCCCACAATACATGAGTGACTTCCACTACTGGGTCCCCATATAGCATATGCATGGAGTGACATAGTTTAGAAGTTGAGTGATGATCCTCCATGATTTGATAAAGCAAATAGCTATAAGAAGATGAAGAGAAGAATGCAACATTTCTTAATCCTACCCTAGACTTTATCAGATTTAAGGAGCATTTCCCTAGGGTGTAGCCTGGAATACATTTTTGGTCAAGAGAGATAAAAGGGAGGAAATGCAATAATGAGGGACTCTCCCCACCATCAAGAATGAATGACTGGGAGTGGAGTGTCTTTTTAGATTCAAGCCCCTGATCCAGGAAGCTTTTAGATGAGAAATGTCCAAAACCACAAAACCAAGGGAGTCCCCAAAGAATGCAAGCTTGTTAATGTTGAAGGAAGGAGGACTCCCCTCCACTGCTGAGAGGGAGTAAGTCTTTCTCTAGAGCTGGCACCTCTGCTTTGGATTTTTATTCTTTCAATCCTCTAAATCATGAGAGAAGGCAGTTCTGACTATTAAAGCCATCCACTCGTCTGTTTAGCTACACTAGGTAATTAAGACATTATCCTGATCTATGTTATATAGATACAACCTTGCTTGCAGAAAATGAACAGGACTTGAAACTCTTGCCACAGAAGATCAAAGACTATAGCCTTCAATTTGGATTAAATTTCAGCATTGAGATGGAGAAAACATTATAGTTGTCAAAGATTTCACCTTGCTTGGCTATTTCTGTGGTTCTCCTCAAATATCTGTTTACAAAAATAGTAAATTTTATCAAGAGAAAAGAAAATTACATTTCTTTTCAGTCCTATTTGCCTCTAAATATATGTTTAATAGACATAATCTAAATAAAATCCGCATGCATAAATGTCCAGAGTAAGAATATAGGTCAATTAAGCATTAGATTCAATGCTACACTGCCTGTCTTAAAGCATGCAAAGCACTTGGAGACCACCAATCTGACCACCCTGGTTCTCGGTGTGGCCCAAGTCTGCACTATCATACATATTCTCTGCATGGACTAATGCAGACGTATCCCTGTACTCACACTTCTGTGTGGTTATGCTGCTCTTACCACAACTTGAGCTCCCTGAAGCTTACATACAGACAGTTCATGATCCAACTCTCTAGGCGGCTCGTTTATACTGTCATCATAGTCATGCTTATCATCCCTGTTTTACAAATAAAGATGCTGAGGTCCAAGATTATTAAACTACATGCACATAGTCATATAGCTAGGAAGTGGCAGGATCATTATACAAAAAAATATGTCTAATTCCCTGGACTCCACTCTTTAGTTACAGCAGGTTACCTCCTGGTGAATATTAAAACTGTGAGTTAGTCAAGTTAAAAAAGGAAATCTTTCTGAAAGACTGCACCAGAGAATGCTACAGTGGGTATGAATACTAAGGCACAGAACAAAGAAGTGTAAGTAGGAGGTGGAAGAAGACAGAAGGACAGCATCTTTGAGGATGACCCCTGACTGGACTTTGGTCTACTGTACCGCTAACTGAAAAGGTATCCTGACAGAGAAAAACAAAGCAAAAAGATGCTGACAGATCATTTACAAATGATGCCAACAATCAATAAGAATTTTCAAAAACTCTGCTGAAGATGATGGTGAGGCGAATGAGGAAAAACAAAAGAAATGAAAACTAGGCTGGAAATCAAAGAAGTGGGGTGACAGGCACATAAGTATTTTATTGAATATACTGTCTCTACTTGTTAAAGCTATGAATGCCAGTAGCAGCTGGACTGTGACAACAGATTCTACAGCTCGAGATACTAGATGAAAAGATTCCATTCTTCCCTTTCAGAAAACTCTACCATACAGATGTGTCACTCTGAATAGTAAAGAAATTGCTCAGCAAGAAAAATTTTCATTAAAAGAAAAAAGGTCCATGACTCTATTAAGAGGAATCCTGAAAATAATTTTTTTTATTATTAATTTCAATGAACATCAACAGAGATTTTGGAATTCCATTCTTTCATTGTTGCACTTTTCCCCCCAGCCACCCCCAACCCGCCCCAGTATGCGCCTCTCCTTGAAAAGCAAAAGAAAAACTCCTTCACTGGTACACAATTCCCACCACCCCCGCACACCCCCATTCCCACAATTTTTCTATCGTAAAAGAGCTTAGGCAGACTAGTGTGCGGAGTCGTGCTGTCAACTAAAAAAGCTGCTTCTAAGAAGAAAGATGGGCAATCTCCTCCCACGTGATCTACAGCTTCTGAAAGCCCACTGAATGGTCAGCTATAAGTCTGTTTTAACTCAATGGTATGTAACTATAACAATTATATATCAGGATCATAAAACCAGGCATATAAAATTTAGAGGGGAAATACATATAAAAAAAATTAAAGCAAAAAGAACCTCTAAAGATTATAGAGTACATAATTTTTTGCCTTTTAAAATATAGTATGTTTAAATTACACAAACACTATGTGTGTGCATGTGTGTACTAAAGCCTATAATATTTTCAAGTTTAAATTAAATGAAAAATATCTGAATTTGGCATTTTCTTCCAAAGTTTAGGATCAAGCAGTACAAGTTAATATCAATTTGAAGGTAATATTCTAAAAGCACTATAAGTGTGTACTTGAAGAAAAACTGAGAACTTCAAAACATACTTTGTGTTTAAAAGAGGTAGAGGGGTGCATTTCTATTATCAACACATCAGTTCTAAATTATTCATTTTCATTAAAAGGAAACAAAGGTCCAAGACTCTACCAAGAAATTACTTTCTACACTTTTTTCATTAAATAGTAAAGAATGTGCCTAGCTTTTTCATGTCACCTAATGTAGGGAAAAAATGGAATATACACTGAGTTTAAAGTAGCTCTCTATAAAGGCAAAAATCTGAATTAGACAAAATGCTCCAAAATTTAATTTTATGTATCTTTACCTAGATCCCTGGTGGAACAACGGTTAAAGTTTCTGTTTAAATTCACCAGCTGCCCCTGAAGAGAAAGATGTGGAAGTAGGTTTTCATAAATGATTTGCATTCTTAGAAACCTAAAGGGGAATTCTACTTTGCTGAACGTTTTGCTACGACTCAGAACTGTCTCAATAGCAATGGATTTATATCACTGGAACTTTCACACTAAGTATACACCCTAAGTACAGCACTGCTGTCGAGTTGGAACTGACTCATAGCTGACTCTCTAAGTGGGTTTTAAGAGGCTGTAAATTCCAAGGGAAGAGACTATTGGTCTCCCTCAGAGCAGCTGGTGGACTGGAACCACCTACCTTTAAGTTGACAGGACAATGCTTCAAACACTAGGCCACCAGAGCTCTAAGCATACACTAGTTCTTCTATACAAAATAATTAAAATTCAGCTTAAAAAGAATCCAAAAAATATTATAAAGAAATCTGCAATTTGGTGAAAAGACTAGGAATCTATGATTTGTGACTCTGACTCCACAATTCTGTTTTTGTTTTGGGTTTGGTTTTTTTGGGTTTTTTTTTGGTATAGGCTCACCAGGTTACTCAAATGTTAAGCTTATCAGCTGCGCGACCGTGGACAAGATCTTTTGCCTTTTTTGTACCTGTCCTTGTCTATAAACTGGGAATGGGAATAGCACCTAGCTCAGAGGTTGGTGGTGAGATTGAAGTAAGCAACATACTACCCGAAGGACCAGGGAGCACAGCACCTGGCACAGTCACATTCAGAATTGTCAGGTGTGGTACCTGTCAGACCCACTACTGACATATAGAAAACTGAAGAATGACAAGGCAAACAAGTTTGAGACCCAGCACTCTTTCCCTTCATAGCTAACTAGTACCTGGTCACAAAAAGACACAGGCTGTGCAGAAATATCTTTCAATTTGTCGATAACCACTGGAACTTTAAGTTGAGTCTCTCTAGAGTTCTCAAATAGAGAAGGCACAAAGAGCTCACAAAGACAACACAGGCCAAATCAGAGACTCCCAGGGAGGCTTCTTAGAAGTGTTCTAATGCTGACAGGTGAAAAGATGCAGAAATTCCTACTGAAGAAGATCCATGCAAATTGAAAAGTACCTGGCACATCACACTTGGCACTACAAGAAAAATGGTAATGAGGATGGGATATGGTGTCAATAAGGAGTTGGTGACCAAAGTATTCTTTTAAAAGCGATCCAATGAAGATTTCATTCCCCAACTATGCTAAGTTTTCTCCTGCTTTTCTTACCAAACTCAGTTAGCATTAATTAATTAATTACCTCCTTCACAGTATTGAAGATTGGTAAGTCCAAATGCATCTTGCCTCCCTTCCCCGGAGTTGTTCCTCCAACTAGTTGGGTGCCATACTCTAATGCCTTTTGGCTGTGGAAGGTGCCCTGTGGGAGAAAAGGTACAAGATCCATGAGAAAGTCTGCAGAGAAGAAGCAAAGACAACCTTAAGAAACCTGGGCAAAGAAAAACAAATAGGTCAAATACATGTAGCAATGGCATAGATCCAGCATTCCCATCAACTTATTAAACACAGTTTCGAACATTAAAGCTAAGTTCTGTAAGGTCAAAATAGCTGTATTCCATTTCCAAGCCTGGTTGATGATCATTCTCCATCTACTCTAGGACAGCACATCGGTGGTCAAACAGTGGCTGGAAGTAAAAGACCCAACTGATTATACATTAATGATTATTAATCTTATATAAGGAGTTGCAATGCCAGCTCAGTGGCAGACAGTTCAAATCCACCAGGTGCTCCAAGGAGAATGATGGGCAATCTCGATTCCCACACAATTTACAGCTGCTGAAAACCCAGTGGAGGGTTATTTATTAATTGGTTTTGATCAGTCATACATAATAATAGCAATGACCTTATGTTAATACACTTCAGGCATGTTAACAGGAAGGGGCCATCCCTGAAGAAAGACGTCATGCTAAAGATGTCATGTAAAGCAGAAGTGTAGCAGAAAAAGAAGGCCCTCAACAAGACTGGTACAGTGGCTACAAAAAGAGCTTAAGTGCACACAACAAAGATTATGAAGATGCCACAAGATCAGGGATTGTTTTCCTCTGCTGCACCCAGAGTTGTTGTGAATCACAGTCAACATAATGGCTTAACAACTACCTACCTACCTTAACTAACTTACCTAACTTAACCTACCTAAAGGGAACCTTTATCCTGCCTAGATGTATCCAGTATCTCTGTAACCATCCACTCACTCTCCTTCCATCTCCTGCATGCTTTCTCAATCTTGGCTTTTGCTTTTTCTAATTCTGAACAGGATAATTCTTTGTTACGGGAGGTTGCCTATAGGATGTTTATTTAACTACACACCTGATGGCCTCTACTCATTGGAAGCCAGTGGCACAACAGTTAGGACAGCTTACAGTATCTTCCGGCAATGCCACTTATGCCTGGCAGGCAAAATCGTCCTGAGGTATTAAGAACTACTGTCCTAGATAATTATTCCCTCATCAGCCTCCAACACTTCCCAGTTCATCTCTAATCTCAGCTAAAGAATATGCTTCCTATTTCATTGAGGAAGAAGGTGCTTATGAAGAAGGGAGTTTTGATAAACTTCTATCACATTGATCCACTCACCCCACGTACCCTGCCTGACCTGTCTCCATCTGTGCTCTGAGCAAAGTCCATGCATTCCATTTGTGCACTAATCCCAATTCATCTCATCTACTAAAGGGCATCACTCTGGCTATTCTACATTTTCCTGTGTACCATCTATGGATTAATGGTGTTATTTTTCTCATCTCAACACTGAAATGCTCTACTCATTGTTACCAATGACTTCCATGCTGCCAAATCCAATGATCAGTTCTTCACACTCATCTTATTTGATATCTCTCTCCTCATTCTCCTTCTACTTAAGATTCTTTCTCACTTGGCCTTTAGAACTTTATCTGTATTGGTTTTACTCTTTAATTCTTCTCTAGAATTCTTCTCTTTTCCACCTCAATTTTTGTCATCTTGTTCCATGGTATGGTAAAAAATATCAACTCACACACATGTGCATACTCATACAGTCACAACACATAATCGATCTCGACTCTTACCTTAAACTTCTTACTCATCTTGTCTACCATGTTGCTCACCTTCTATCTCCACTTTAGAGAACTAGACAGAATCTCAAACTCAGCATCCCCAAACTGAGTTCCATTCTATTTCTTTACAAATGCTCACCAAAACCACTAAAGTCATTTTATATCCCACATTAGATTCACTAGTAAATCTTTTAATTCTATTTATAAAATGTATTTGGAATCTGACAACTCCTCACCACAATCACTTTGATCACAAATATCTTTCATAGATTCTTTTCCAATCAATTTTCAACTCAACCTCCCTAAGGATGATTATGCTATGTTTATACTCAAACATTCTGATGGCTTTCTATCTTATTCACAGTAAAAGTCAAACTCCTCAAAAAATGTACAAATGAATACATCATCTAACTACATCAGAACCCTTTTACTGGCTGACCTCATTTACTGTTCCCCAACCACTCTTTCCACCCCAGCTTCCATACTGGTCTTGCAGCTTCCAAACGCTGAAGGTACATTCCGACTCAACGGCTTTGCTGTACCCTTGACTGCATGCAGCCTATACAGAATATAGTTCCTTCCATATCCAAAATGGCTCAATGTCTACATATCATTCGCAATTTGACGCCAGAGGCCAGGCTTTCCCTGACCATCAATTTGTGCCAAGAAATGTGGGAGACAGTTACCTGGTCCACTGAACTGGAAGAGATCCATATTTGTTCCTATCCCCAAAAAAGATGATCCAAATTCAGGAAAGTGGCAGGATACAAGATCAACATACAAAAATAAATTGGATTTCTCTACAGTAACAAATACAGAACTGGGGCTAGGAGAAACAACATTCATCACAATAGCTAATCACAGGATTAAATACTTGGGAGTAAATCTAAGCAGAAACATAGAGGATCAATTCAAAGAAAATTATAAAACATTGCTACAAGAAACAAAGAGAGACCTGGAGAAATGGAAGCATAAACCTTGCTCTCTTGGATAGGAAGACTCAATATTGTGAAAATGACAATATTGTTGTTGCTGTTATGTGCCGTCAAGTTGCTTGCGACTCATAGCAACCCTATGTACAACAGCCCTAAACTCTGCTCTGTCCTGTGCCAATCACACTGTCTCTGACACTCCCATCCCGATTATCCCAGTCACTGAATCAATCCACCTCATAAAGGGCCTTCCCCTCCTGCGCTGTCCCTCCACCCTCCCAAGCATGATGTCCTTCTCCAAGGACCGGTCTCTCCTCACAACATGTCCAAAGTATGTTAGACGGAGCCTCAGAATCCTTGCCTCCAAGGAGCCACCCAGTTTAACCCTTTCCAGGACAAATCTGTTTGTTTTCCTAACAGTCCATGGTATTCTCAATACTCTTCTCCAGCACCACAGCTCAAAGGCATCAATTCTCCTTCTATCCTCCTTGGTCACTGTCCAACTCTCTGATGCATAACAAGTGACTGCAAAGACCATGGCCTGTATCAAACACACCTTTGGAGAGGTCCCTAACAGCAGACTTTCCCATGGCAATGCGCCTTTTAATTTCCTGGCTGCTGGTGCCAAGACTGTTGACTGTGGAGCCAAGCAAACTAAAGCTGTGAACAATCTCAATCTCTTCACCATCCATCCTGATGCTGCCAATTGGTCCAGTGGTGAGAATCTTTGTCTTCTTGACATTGAGCCTCAATCCATATTGGAGGCTGCAGTCCTTGACCCTCTGCAGCAGGTGCTTTAGGTCCTCTTCAGTTTCAGCAAGCAGGGTTGTGTCATCTCCATAACACAGACTGTTGATAAATCGTCCCCCTATCTTGACCCCACATTTCTCCTCATAGAGCCCAGACTCCCGGATAATCTGTTCTGCATATAGGTTGAAAAGGTATGGAGATAGGATGCATCCCTGGCGTACGCCCTTCCCAATTTTATTAAAGGCAGTTTGCACATTCAATGTAATCCCAATACAAATACCAATTCCACTCTTCAACGAGATGGAAAAGGTAATCTCCAACTACATTTGGAATGGAAAGAGGCCCCAATTAAGCAAAGTACTCCTTAAAAAGAGAAACAAGGAAGGTAGGAGGCATCTCACTCCCTGATTTCCAATCCTACTATACTGCCGTGGTGGTCAAGGCACTGTGGTACTGGTACAATGACAAACACATATATCAACGGAATAGAATTGAGGACCCCAAAATCAGCCCACATACCTCTAGACAACTGACTGATGAAATCAGTTAAGTGGGGAAACAAGTCTTTTTAACAAATGGGGTTAGAAAAATTGAGAAAATACCTGTAGAAAACTAAAGCAAGATCCACACATCACTCCATAAACTCAAAATGGAGCAAGGATCTAGGATTAAAACCAAGGACTATAAACTTCATTAGAGAAGAACCTGGAAGAACTCTAGTAGTCCCAATCCACAACATAAATAGTCTTCCAAGCATACTGAAAAACCAAAGACCAGGAGAGGATAAAATAGATGAATTAGGACCTTCTAGGAATCAAATCGCTATGCACATCCAAAAACTTCTCCAACAGGGTAAAAAGGGAAGCCACAGACTGGGGAAAAATATTTGTTAATGACATGTCTGATAAGGGACTTATATCTAGAATTTATAACCTATTCGAACATCACAACAAGATAAGGGTAAACAACCCAAGTGCAAAATGAGCACAGGATATGAACAGACAGCAAACAAACACGAGGAAGTGTTCAAAATCCATAGCTCTAAGAGAGATGCAAATCAAAACAATTATAAGATATCATCTCACCCCAGTAAGAATAGTAAAATTCAACAGAGCAGCAAAGAACAAATGCTGTGGAGAAACTGGAACCCTTATTCACTGTTGGAGGGAGTGTAAAATGATAGTACAACCACTTATAGAAGGCAGTATGGAGCTTAGAGAAATACCATTTGACCTAGCAATTCCACTACTTGGAATATACCCTAAAGAAACAGGAACTGCCACCCAAGTAGATATATGCACATCCATGTTTATTGCTGCTTTGTTGACAATAGCAAAGAGTTGGAAACAACTCACCTGTCCATCAACAAATAGAGAAGCTGTAGTATATTCACACAATGGAATACTATGCTGCATTGAAAAACAAGGAACTCATGAAACATTATACAAAATGGATGAGCCTGGAGCACATTATGCTGAGTGAAATATCTCAGTCACAAGAGGACAAATACTGTATGGTGCCACTGTTGTAAAGTAGGACTGACATCAGGGTTGGGGGGAACCTAAGAAAAGTGAGGATAAATAATGTATACTGCATTGAAACAGATGAGGGAAAGAACTGTTTAAAAGAAATGTAAGATTAGGTATTAT